ATTGATATGAGTCAGAATTGACTCTGTGGTAGTGAGAGGAGGAGAGGAGAAGCAGACTGCTTTAGTACTTGTCTTCTGACATGACATAGATTCTATTATTGTAGTTGCTCTCAGTCTACTTGACACTAGAGTAAGTGTTAGTATTAAGGATAAATGGCATTGAACTGGAAGGACATAGAAGCATGGAGGGGGAAAGGTAAAGGTAAAATGAGAATGAAATGACTAGTTAATGTTACTAGAGTAAGGGTTCTTAAATATCCACATCCACATCACCAGAGAACTGGTTAGTTACAGTGGAGTCAGTCCCAATCATTGCTGGTGATCCCATGCGTACAGAGGAGACCTGCTCCACAGGGTACTCTTTAAAGTTGTGACCTTTTGAAAACCAGGCCTGCCTCTGGGTGGATTTGAACTGCTAACCTTTCAGGGTCCTTCTGCACAGTGATTTCTGTGAACTTGTTAGAAATGCAAATCATTTGGGCCACATCTCAGACCGAATGAGCTGGAAAGTCCAGGAATGGGGCCAGAAGTCGGTTTGAACAAGCCCTCGGGTGATTTGGGTGCACACTAAGTATGGTCATGTAATAGGTGCCGTTGAGTTGGTTGTGACACATAGGCAGCTAAGTACAATGGAAAGAAACACTGCCCTGTTTGGACCTTCACTATCCCCTCATTGTTCTCATGGTTAAGCCCATGGTTACAACCACTGTGCCCATCCATCTTCTCAAGGCTCGTCTTTTTTGATGCCTCTCTACTGAGCATGATGTCCGTCTCCAAGGACTGGTCTCTCCTGACAGCATGTCCAAAGTACATGAGATGAAGTCTCACCCTCCTTGCCTCCAAGGAGGATTCTGGCTGTAATTCTTACAAGATAGATTTGTTTGTTCTTTTGCCAGTCCATGGGACTTTCAATATTCTTAGACCAGCACTGTAATTCAAATGCAATGATTCTTCTTCAGTCTTCCTTATTCAATGTCCAATTTCCACATGCATATGATGAGGCCATTGAAATCGTCTTGAAACTAAATATTGGGAATTTTCCATGATTTCTATTATTTATAATATGCACCTTTCCCAAAATATTCAACTTGGTTTAACACAAAGAAAACATGTGGCTCATCTTTCTGTTGCAACAGAAATAAAAATTCAGAGCTAGGAAATGGAGAAGTTAGTCTAGCTGAAGAACCACAGGCTTATTGTAATAACTCCTTCAATAAACTCAGAACAATCAAGCAAACGAAGAATTCACTAAAATGAGAGACAGTCTCATGAGAGTAGAGAGATACCAACGTAACCATGAAAAATGAACAACAACAACAAAGCCCCTCAAGCTTTCCCTGAATTCATTTCTCACGTGGAGGTTTATCTCCCAGGCTCTTTCACAGAGGGCCTAGCTGATTTTTTTTCTGAAATTCAACAACAGTCTCCTTTTACAACACAATTCATAATCATCATAGCAAAGTACTTATTGTGCCAGGCACTACACAAGGTAGTTGAATTATGTAATTGTATTAATTCCTCCTAATCATCTATCAAATGGCAATGACCATTACCCCAGTTCAAAGACAAAGAAGTTGAGAATCAAGATAAATGAGAGCTGAAACCCTGAGCTAAAATTCTCTGCTAGGAACTGCTAACCTATTCAAAGAAAATGAGCTTCTTTTCTCTTTGGCAAATGGAATCTACACAACAGTACTGTCTTGCAATACAGAATTGCTCAGAGCTGCCCTGGGGTTTCCTTTGTACTGTTGACATAGTTCAAGTGAATTAGATAGTATTAATTCATTAGTTAACTGTGAATTCAAGTCAATAAAAGCCTCTACAACTTGGATCGCTGCTCCATTTATCATGGCTTTCAAACCAGATCCCATGAGTGATCCTCCAGAGTCCGTCTGGTCCCTTCACTGCTGTCTATAGAGGCCAGATCCCCCGGTTCAAACAGCATCACAGTATGAGTTCTTGGACACTGAGGAGTGAACATTTTTTTCTCCACAAGCTTTTCTGAAATAGTTCTGTCAATGGCAGGTTAAAGAATATGCTGATTCAGGTTGCATCTTCGGCTCCCTGCCCTGCACTGGACCTTGCCCCATACCAGGCTTCTCCTCTTCCGGGTGCTTCAGCCGGTTACATTTCTGAGCTAAAATTCTCACTTTATTCAAGATCTCTTGAGTCTCAACTTTGGTTGCCACTGTCTGCGGCACAGGCAGCACCAACTGGCAACAAAAACTTGGTGTATGCCAAACCTGGCTGGTCCGCAGGCATTAAGGAAGTGATCACGATTCATCCATTTTCTATTTTCTACATAATGAACCTGTTAGAGAAATCGGGTCACTAGTAGAAAAATATTTTGGATCTCAAAAGTAGTAATAATGCATTTCTTTAAAAAAAAATACTAAATCAGATTTTTCACATATTCAGACTTATCACTTCTTCCTTTCTACAACCCAATCGCCTTCCTGAGGGTTTCCAATTTAATTTAAGTGGGTCCTGGTTTTCTTTGAATTCGTCCATCCATTGATATAGTTTACTCTTCTTTTAAATTTTGACCTTTATTTAGTTGGAACTTTATTAAGCTCCTACTGTATTATTTTCTTAACTCAGATGTATTGCTCTTTTCACCTTTGGTTGATCATTTCATTATTGAGAACATCAATTAAATTAATTCTGTGTTCTAAAATTGCATTTTCTGATTTATTTTACATTATTTGTATCTCTTCTAATTCTATGGGTTTCTGGGTGATGCCATCAGATTCTTATACCTTATTTTTTTCCCCTAAATCTATCTGGTGGCATGGAGGGTGACATGTTGAGCTAACTGCAAGGTCAGTAGTTCAAATATCACCATCTTGTCTCAGGGAGAAAGACGAGGCTTTCTACTCCCATAAAGAGTTACAGTCTGGACTACTCATCAGGACAGTTTTACCCTGCCCTATAGGGTAGCCAGGAGTCAGAATTGACTCAATACAGTGAGTTTGAGGGTGTTTTATTTTTAACGTTTTTCACATGATAGATTATTCTCCATCCCTTCCATGTATGTAAAAAAAATACATGAAAGGGCTCATTGATCCATCCATATAAGGGAAATCAAATAGTGTGCTTCCATACTAGCAATAGAAGAATCCGTATGGTTGGACGGTTGGTATTTTAAAAGGAATGTCCCTGGTTACATTTAAAATGGCATAATTTTCTAGGACTTGCATATTTATCCATTCAAATCTCCTCACCCCTCCACATTTTCCTTGTCAAAAATTAGATATAAGTTGCATGGATTCAAAGCACAATTGGTATGAGAATGGTCCGATTCTCCGGCCTGCTTACTTCTCAATAAATGATCATGCTGTTTGAGAAGAGAAGGAAAAGAAAATCATTCTAATTGCCCACTGACAATCAGACAGTTCCTCTTCAAAGGGAAATCTTATGAATGCTCAACTTTAATTTGCATGGAATCATCTCTTCCATTTCCATAGAGATTCAGATCAAAGGAGGGAACACCATCAGACCAAAAAAGTAAATCAAATTATGATCACTTTCAGTTTCTGCCTAAGCAAATACTTTCTTGGACTTTTCTAAACTTTCAGAAATTGAGGTACAGCTGGAGACATAGGCATCATGGATAGATACTGTGTTTAAATGTATAGGTAGAAGTCAACTAAACTTGCCATAAAATATAATGGACAGATTTCCCCCAACTTTTAATCCATGTAATTTTAATGAGCTATAAGTGGAAGGTATATTTACTTTCCTAAACAGTGTCATCATTAACTAATCATCTCTAAAGAAATAAACCCGAGGGAAAAGAATGTGCACCTGGTTTCATAGGCATCTGTAAACAGCATCTAAAATCTAATCATTCATCTGAAGGTAAGTGGAATTGAAACCAAGTGAATTTCTAATCATGCTGATCCTCTCAATGTTTGCTGACTTTGATGTTTGCTGACATCGGGTACTTTGGTCGGTACACAAGGTCTTCAACCCCATAATAAAGGGCCACTTGACTGGTGTCGGGTCTACTCAGGGTGCTATTAGGGAAGGTGACATTTGTGTCCTTCCATATTCTGAATTGTCAATTAGGCCTCTTCCTTTTCATCATGTTCTCTCTCTCTTCTTTATACCTGAATGCTGCCAGCTGATGTCACTCCATCGCCCTTTATTCATACTCCTCCTCAGCTGTCGCAAGCATTGTATTTTCTCCCTTTGTCTCATGCAGGGAATGTGGGGCTATCCTGGAGTTAACAAAGCCCATTCTTTTCCTGCCCCACATCTCTCATCTACTCTGGCCAACTCTTACAATAAACCTTCTACCTCTCTGCCCCTCCCCTGGGCCCCTAAGATTACCCAGAGCTCCACTCTGCATTCATGTTAGAACTCCTTTTTCATCCTCACACAAGGGGAAGCATTCAATTTTCCTCTTTTTTTGGTCCCCCAATAATAAATGAAAAATGTCTATGAGCTAGCGTCTACACTTTCTAACAGTCACATATTCATTATGGAAGCAAGGGCAGAGATGAAAATAAATAGCAAGTTACTTTTCATTACGAATTGTATGAAAACAATTAGATGGCTTTAAAAGTTATATACATATACAAATTGCTATTCATGTATATTTACAATTAGCTAATGTTGAGGCTGTAGAGCAGTGGTTCTCAACCTTCCTAATGCTGCAACCCTTTAATATAGTTCCTCATGTTGTGGTGACCCCCCCAACCATAAAATGATTTTCGGTGCTACTTCATAACTGTCATTTTGCTACTGTTATGAATCAGGTGGCCACTGTGAAAGGGTCATTCGACCCTCAAAGTGGTCATGACCCACAGGTTGAGAACCACTGCTGTAGAGGATGAGATTTTTTAACCTTTGGTTTGTTGAGGCTGCCTAAAGATCTTGAAAAATGAGTTAACCTACTGCTGCCTGAATCCACGGCCAGCATAGATTTCTGTGGACACCAGGATCTGGTCTCATACACCGACTGATAGTGGAATGATTTTATGTGCACGTTTAAGGTTCTCCTAAAGGAAAATCACAAGGAGGGAAACAAGCAGTAAAGAAGTCACCTGCTGATTCTGCAGACGTGTCCTTTGTTCCAGTAGTGCCACCATTGCCTAAGCCAGGATCGGAAGAATGGGTCTATGTGAAGGAAGCGATTCCCGAGGTACGGCAATTTAGAGTCACACATTAGTGGAACCCACTCTTTTCCCTGTGCATAGTAAGAGTCATGCCACTGTTTGCAAGAGCAAGAAAGCCTTTCTTAGCTAGCAGTATACATAGGCATCAAAATAGCCTTGATCATTTCTGTAGAGACCACTCAATGAGCAACATTTCACCTTTTCTCGGCCTCACTTGAGTTCCTGAGTCATGCTCACACTGAGGTAACAAACGACTTCTGTGATGACCAATGTTCTTGCCTAGAACAAGCAGAGATACAGTTTCCTGGAAGAATAGCTTCCCCAGAACACATACCCAGGAAATTACAGCCCTCCATCCGTGTTCACATACCCACTGCCTAATGTGTTTGAATGAAGTTTAATCTCTGAGATTTTAGACATAGTAGACTTTTCGGAAAAAAACAAACACCTAAACCCATGCAAGAGCAGAGAGCTCTTTTAAATAATTACTCCAGGGCAAGGTAAGGAGCCGCTGTCCAACTCTTTGTCGCTCAGTAAGTGCAAAATCCATTTGCTGCCCAGACAAGTCTGGTTGCTTTAACCGAACAGATAAAAAATACCCTTGGGGAAAAATTCACACAGCATGGTCTTCCTTTAAAGGTTTAGATAAGACCCTGTCCCTGTCTTTTTTATACCAGTCCCCAGAGATTTCTTACATGTATGAGCACCTAACACTGGCCCGGTGAGACCCAATCATGAGGTCGGTGAGCGTCGGACTGGCCCTGTGGGTGGGCTTTGCCCAGGCAGAGCCTCGATGCGAGCTCGACATTCTAAACTCAACGGGACGGTGTGGGGGTCTGCCTTTCCCGACTCGCCGTGGCCTAATGACGGCATCATCCTTGCGGGTGAAATCAGAACAGAAACATTTAAAGAACGGAAAAGCGAAGTGCTCGAAGTATGACAAATGAGGATAACTGGCATCACTCAGCCAAACAGAGGCACTTTTTTCTTCAAATAAGTATGTTTTAAATCCCTCACAAAAGCAGGTCACGGGAACAGCTCTCTGAGAAAGCAGTGGAACAAAATGGTGTTACTTGGCAGGAGGTGGGATGTGCGAGGCAGAAATGACCAAAATCCAGCCCTTCACGCCATCTCTCGGAAGCCTGGAGAGAAAGACATCCGTGGACCCCCATGGGCAGTGAATTGTAGCAGAGGAAACGTGACCACTAAGACGGGGTCCTGGCTCCCACGCTCTTCTGGCTGTCAGGATCCTGGCAGAACACAGATGATAATTTGAGGGGTGCTCCATAAAGACTATACAATGCGTGGGCAGTCATTAAGAAAACCTATGAGGTTCCATGATACCCCCTGGCTGGAGATCGCTGGAACTGCCCCACGCCCTAAGCCGAGGGAGCCCAGGAAGAGGAGCAGACCCTTGACCTGAGTGAGTCATCTGAGCAGAGCTGTGCCTTCAACAAAGGAGACCATCCACCCACAGTGGACCGGAGGGAGAGCATAGCCCACTCTCACATCACTTCCCGCTCATGCACCCGCTCTGTCAGTTCACCCAAGTCAGCCTCACAAGGCACTCAGAGGGGTGGAGGACAGAAAGTTGGTCTGGAAGGACAGAGGAAGACAGCCCACACTGATCTCTAGTCCCCTAAGGAAGATCCAGCATGTGGGGAATGCCTTCCACTCCTGCTAGAAGAGGTTAAGAGTCTGGAAACCGAGCAGACCACATGACCCTCTCTGTAGCCTTTTCCCCACTCCAAGCTTCCCACCACTGCTGCCTCAGAGGTTACCCACTGAGAGAGAGGAAAGCCAGACTCAGAAAGTTCTGGCACACAAGAGAAAGCACCAGTGCAGGACAGTGACCATCTTAGGACCTGGGTTGCTAGCAGCGCTGCCAGATTGAGCTAACCAAAACACATGACACCCTATTCAATTTTAATTTCAGATAAGCAATTAATTGCACTGAGCCACACATATTTTGTCTAGTGAGCCCAATCCCAGGCCTCAGAGGACCCCCGACCTATTGTACCCCAGCAGACATATGGAGGGGACATTGTGGGAAAGAGAGAAGAGAGATTGCTCGCCCATCCAACTTCCTCAGCAATTACAAGAGCGAGCCTGGGCCCTCCCCCCTTTGCAGTCACAAAGCAAAGTGGAGCGGGAACCAAGGAGGCAGTCCAAGTGAGAAGTCTTTGCTTTCCAGCCTATGGAAGTGAGAGCCAACTCCCAAGAAACAGGATCCCAGGAAAGGGGCAGCTCTCTTTACAAATGACAATGACTTTGTAACATCCCTTTTATCTAGGAGAATCCAAAGATAATCCAGATGTTTGATTGAAAGCTTTAACATTATTATTGTTAGATTAGGACATTTTCTTTTGGCTTCATAAATATGAAGGGAAGTAAAGCTTTATCAAAAGGAGCCCTGATCGTGCAATGGTTAAAGCACGCCTGTGATAACTGAAAGGTCAGAAGTTCAAAGTCAGCAGACACTGGATGGGAGGAAAGATCTGGTGATGTGCTCCCATCCAAAGTACAGCCTAGGAAACTGTATGAGGCAGTTCCGCGCTGTTTTCTAGGATTGGTAACAGTTGGAATTCACTTAACAGCATACGACAACAAGATGGTGTCCTGGAAAGTATCTCTGCGAACCTCAAGTGTAACAAAAGGGAAAACGTTAGATTGGAAAGAGCAGATTTAGCCAGTATTGAATTTGAAAAATAAAAGAATCCTGTGAACAAAATATGAGGCCCCTCTCAGAATCTTGTCAAGCAAGTGTCCCTGGAGCACATGCGCCCTGGCTATCGAATGCCTGTCACACTTCCCCCTTCTCCATCAAGAAAACCATGTAATTGAGACAATGGGTCTGTATACCTCATTCAAGTTCCCAGACCCAGAAAAGTCACATCCCAGGAACTGGAAAGATCTAGAGGTGTGACTGAATGAGTAACTCATTCAGCTCCTTGACGATGCAAGCAATTCCAGCCAAGCAAAAGACCAGATGTAAGGAAATATGTCAATACTTTAGAAAAGGCAGGTGGGATTTAATCCAATACAGACCAATAATCTCTGCATTATTCCCACACAGAACTCCTGAGTCAATAATCAAATGCATGACTTCAGAGCACTTGTAAGTGTAAAATGATCAGAGCACTTGTAAAGTGTAAAATGATCGTGGAGAGTAAATCTAAGTGGTGGAAGTATAATAGTAAATGAAAAGTAAAATTAAAACAACAAATGCCTTAGAAAGTTAGAACAACCTTAGAAGAATCTTTTGTTGTCCTGGAAACAAGGTTGAACAGGGCAGTCAGGGAAACACCTTAGAAATAGTATCTCTGGAGTTCAAATAGTTTCTGACTGTTATCTCAGGAAGTACTTGTGGATAAATGAGAGCTGTGAGCATGGTGTTCACACAGTTAGGCCCATTATCTGTGCCATCCCTCTATACAGAGTGTAGCTAATGATGGAAGTCTCTGAGGGAGGAGCTTTATGTAAAAGTGCACTTACATAAATTGGTCTTTAGTACCATTCTAAGGACCACACCTGTTACCAGAGATTATGATGAATTTGAAACCAAAGAGGTGGGAAGTATGCCAGGAAAGGATGTTAAAATAATGCCAGGGGAGCATTCGAAATAAGTTAAAAGCTGAAACTGTTTCTTTCCACAAATGAGTTTATATAAAATACTTGAGGTATGGGTGGACATTGAATGTAGACTTCTAAAACTAGATAGATTCAAGTAGTGTCCTAACACGTTAACTGATAATCAACTGAGGTGAAGTGAGCCTGTATACTTCCATAGTCACCTTTATTTAGCCCCTACTATATGCATGTGTTGTTCTAAGGGCTCCCAGTGCTCATACAAAATAAGGTACAATTTCTATGTCCAAGAAGGCGGTCTACGTGGTACTGGGTCACAAGCACAAAAGCAACTAATGATAATACAATTTTGTAATTGTGCTTGTAATAGGTGCTGAAAATGTTGCAGCATAGAGGAGGAAATGATAAATTTCATTTGGAACATTCAAAACTAAAGGGAGGAGGTGGCTTCCCTGTGAGCGCACCTACTAAAGGATGAGTTCCTTGAGTGAGAATGTAGGGAGGGGGAATCCCGGTCGGTCCGAGAGACTAGTTCCATGTATGTGTTCACAAGAGAAAGTTTGCGAACAAACCTTGATAAAAAAAGGTAGGGACCAGATGAAGAAACATATTAAAAATAGCTCTGAACAACTTGGTCTTTACGCATTAGGTAATGAGAAGCTACGGAATGTTTTCCAGAAACAAGTACCACGTAAGACGTTGTTAAACTAATCATCATAGAAGCAATGAAGTCAATCATAGAAAAAGCACTGTCTGGGACCAGTCGGCCTGTGTCCCAAACCTAGTTAATTAGCTCACCAGCTGTGCGAACTTTTAAAAGTTATTTAACTCCTGTTGAATCAGTATTCTCAGCTTTAACCAGGAATAAACGTGTTGGATTTGTAGGACTGGGGAAGGACACCTGGCAGAAATGATGTCAGAGCAGAGATAGGACGAACTACTTGAATTAGCCATTACCTGGGGAAAGCGGAGCAAAGAGAAGCACAGCATTTCCCTGAGAACACTTCAAGCCATTGCTTCTTGAGCTTCTTGCCTAGCATTGTTCATTTAACTAAACGATGCACAGGAATCTCCAGTTTGAATGAATGATTTCTTTGTTTTTCTGTTTAACAGGATCTACCTTCCTTTTTAATACCTTACTGGCAACTTATAGAAAGTTCTTACATAAATTCCATCAAAACCATCCTGAGGCAGCTACGAGAAAGCCAGCATGTCTTGATTGGACACTTATATGAGGTTAGGTAGGTAAAGTTGCAGAAGACTTTTATATCTTAAAGGTATGGGGCCTAAGATCCATCTTCCATTAATGTTTCACAGAACAAGCTTCCAGCAGTTCCTAACGCGGCCAGATCACAAGCAAGATTATGTAGGTCATTGGCAAGTGGATTTTAACTCTCTTCCTGATGACCTGTGGGAAGATGAAGAAATCAAGGCTGAACTACACCAAAGAGTGAATGTAAGTGTTCCCATGAATTAGAGTTCACTCAAAGGCAACTGTTTTTAATTTTGTTTGTTTGTTTCCCCATAACTCACTAAAAGGATTTTTTTTAACCAGACTTTTTGAGGAAGGATTACAATGCAGAAAGCATACACCTCCATCCATGTCTAAAGCATAAGCCTTCATCCATGACGTACATGTGGACCTGTGATTTGGAGAAGTAACCTTAGAAAGGGAAGCCCTGACAGAGAGTAGAAGCAAAATGTGTGTGTGTGTGTGTGTGTGTGTGTGTGTGTGTGTATTTTAATGAAAGAATAGACAAAATACATGAATGCATGCAGTCCAAATTTTCCTTAGCGATACGTTGAAGACAGGGAGAGAATTTTCTTTTCCTTACAGAGCAGTCACCTGAGCGGTGACTCTCTAGCACCCCAGTGATGTTCCTCTTCTCTTCAGGATTTGAGAGACCGCCTGTGGGACCTGTGTGATGCCCGGAAGGAAGAGGCCGAGCAGGAGCGCCTCGACATCATCAATGAAAGCTGGTTACAGGATTATGTTGGTGTAGCAATGAACCATTTCTTTTCCCTGATGCAGGTAAGACCAGCCAGTCATGAGAACACATGCACTTCCTGACCCAGCCGGTTTCCCCACTTGACAACTCCTTTGGGAACAGTAGCCCATGCTGGACTTCTTTGGCCCATCACATTCTGCCTGGCAGGAGCTCCAACTTACCAGAACAGTTATCCAAAAACAAACTCAAACTCACGGCCATGGAGTCGGTGCTGATTCATAGCAAACCTATACCACCGGATAGAGCTACCCCTGTGGGTTTGTGTGACTGAAGGAGTGGAAAGCACTGTCATTCTTCCAAGGAGCAGCTGGTGGTTTCAAACTGATGACCTTGAGGATTGCTGCCCAACACATCAAAACGATGCCACCAAGTCTGGGATAAATAAGCCCCGGGACGGAGAAGGATGATAATGAGAGTGATAGTGGTGGTGGTGAGGATGATGATGAGAGTAGTGATGAAAATGAAAGTGGGAGATATATAGGCTCTTGTTGGACGTTGACAACACGAAGGGAGATTTTTTTGCTTGCAGCTGCAGGGCCTTGAGTCAGGATGCGATCAGTGGGAAGTGCTTTTGTTGTTTGCCAACTTACTCCCTGGAGTGCTGGGACAGGGGCCGCACAACCTTGGTCTGGAGAGATAAGCTCCTTGGAATGTTGGGGCAGATGTTGAACACTTCAATAGGTCATTTATCTTCCCGAGAGGCTAGAAATGGGGGCCTTAAAGTTTTATCTTCTTGAGGAGCCAGACAGGAGATGGGGGCTGCCTAGTCTGGACTCGGCCCTAACAGTGATGATGGCACAACTTTTCTTAATATGATTGTATGATTAAATTGTAAATATGGGAAGTACATGCCAATGAAACTATCATCTTTTTAAAGCTAAGAGCCCAATTTTTAAAAAGCGGCACAATACTTAGATATTTATACAAGGAACACCAACAAGCACATGAGAAACCTTCAATACCATTAGTCAGGATGCCTCTCAAGAAAACAGGGAGTTTTGCGGTGTTAGGCCAGGTTGACTACAGAATCAAATCCAATGTCCCTCATCTTTGTATAAGAAAGAACTTTATATCAAGAAGTAATTATATATCAAGAAGGCATCCAAGGCCAGAGTAACTCAATCCGTAAGCCTGATACTAACCCGTAAGTCCCTCTTCAGACTCACATAGCCACATGCAATGACACACAAAGGTGATGCAGAATGCAGGAAGATCACAGACTGGTGGGGTCAGTCACATGAATCCACGGCCAGTGGAAACATGACAGGGCACTTGTAGCTCTCAGGGTCATCAGTAGAGTTCCAACAAGCAGAAAAGTGAAGATGCAGTAAAAGAGGCAAGTTCCCAGTACCCTCCTCCCTTTTATAAGAAGGCATCATCAAGCGCTGACCTAATTGACAGATTGGATTCCAACCCTACACTTTCCTATACCTTCAAGGTGACATGAAATCATCTAACTACCACAGTTGGCAACGATAAGCAGACATTGAAGCCCTTAGGGATTACTGCTGAGAACATGAAGGACCATGGAAACCAGTTTGTCATTGCCTCAGAAAGTCCCACAGAATGACCTGTGATGAAGTAATTCCATGTCTGTCCTAAAAGAACTGAAAATTAGTATCCAAACAGATAGACACATTGCATTCCCATTAATAGGCAGATTGTTGATTTTTAAGTGTTGGAAGGAGGGAACAATGGAGGGAAACAATAGCCTACTGGATAAGCAATTTGGTTATTGTACTGTCTCATCAATTTACACATTACTACTGAATTATTTAAAATGGTTACCTTTATGGTATGTTAGTTTTACCTCAATTAAAAACAAAACCACTTATGATGGAAGAAAAAAATGGAAAGTGAAAGCTCAAGGAATTGAGCATTTGGATGAATCATTCTCAAGATTCTGAGCAATATAATAATCAGAGTGTTATATCTCAGAACTATATAGATTGTGTGCTCAAAGTCTGAGAAACTTTCAGTGTCAGAATATCCAATAAGCAAGGTAAGCATAGGTTTACTTTTGCTTAGTTAATAATACTGCAAATTCCATCTACTGTACTTACTAATCAGTATTAAACACTTTCAAATTATTTTTTTACCACAACAAAGATTCTGCCTTTAGGTGTGGTTGGCACCTGTCTTTCTTCGAACCCTGTGGGGCACCAGCCTCCTAAGGGGCAGTTGTGTAATTGAAGTGCAAATTAAAGTAACATCAGACAAGTCATGCAAGGGCTCACCTCTTCCTTGGAGACCAGAACCAGTGAGAGCCCTATTCTCCTGCAGCTTATATTGTCTTGGGCTATCAAGCCCTGGTAAGCACATACATAACAGGAAAGGTATGTAGTAGGGGCATACTTGTAATAGGAAGAGGAGGTACTAGCTGTGGCATACCTGTGACAGGAAGGCACATGTGTAACAAGGTGAGCAGTTTCTAGAGTTAAGATGATGACTTAACATTGGCTGTCCCTGAGCTGGCTTGACCTTAGGTAGCCAGAGGATCTTTGATCCTTAACAGAAGGGAGTTGGCTGCATCTAGGGTGGGGTGGACAACAGGGTCTGATTGCTCTCAATGGGAGACAACCTTCAGGCATATAACCTCCAAGGAAATAACCTTCAAGGGGAGTAAGCAACCATGTACTTGCAAGAAACATCTTAAAATTGGCATTATTACGGGGTGGGGCTAGGGGTGTGTGCATTGTGAAGAATAACTTTAGTTAAAGAATATGACTGGGATTCATCTCCAACTTACAAACGTAAAGGCCTCCCTCCACTAGATTCTTCGCCTCCCAGACTCCTTATAAATGAGTGTAGAGAATTTGTCCGCATAGACTCTCTTCCCAGTTTTCAGTTTCCCACATAACCCCACAGCCACTTGCTATAGAATCAAAGCCTTTTTTCAAATGCATGATCCCTAACAGGGGCAGAGTACTCAGTAAGCAAGGTAAGCATGGGCTTGTACTTCCTTAGGGATCTGTAGTGAACAATCCCACATGTATCTCACATCAAAGATGCGATGAGACCCATGTGGAGGTGTTCACTACAGATTAGTAAGTAAACGCAAGTAAGCCTGTGCTTACCTTGCTTTTTGGGTAATCCATCCCTGGAGACTCTACTGAGGCCTAAAACAAGCTAGGAAAGATACCATAGCAGGTAATAGTTGTGAATAAATGCTCACATTCACAGTTACTGTGAGTCCTGATGGCATAGTGGGTTATGCAGTGGTGTGCCAACCCCAAAGCCAGCAGTGTTAAACCACCAGCCACTCAGTGGGAGAAAGGCAGGTTTTGTATTCCCATAAAGAGTTACAATTGGGCCCTGCCTTAGGGGGTCACTAAGAGTCAGAATTGACTTGGTGATGGTGAGTTTGTTTTTGCGTTTAGCAACATTGGACTGCAAGGTTGGCAGTTCAAACTCATCAGATGGTTCACAACAGAAAGATGAGGTTATGTGCTCCCATAAAGATTTACAACCTCAGAAACCCTATAAGTCCACTAAAAATCAAAATCAACTGGATAGCAGTAGTTTTGTTCTTTGGTGGTTATATAAGTACATGCTAGGCACTGTTGTATTAACTTTGTGTGTGTGTGTGTGTGTATTAACTTTTTGCATATGAGCATATTAAGTCTATACTGTTCAATAACCCTAAGCTATAAATTCCATTTAATATCTCCTCCTATGTGAGACAAGTAAAGGACACACAGCTAGTGAATGACAGAACTGGAATGAGACTGCCGAAGCATGACCCCAGAGCTTATAATCTGTATCACTGCTGATATACTAATACACTAATATTTTACATTTTATAGATAATCACTATAAAATGGTTAGCCTAAGGTACTAGGGTTTCCTCATAAAACCCAGAGTATAAAGTAGGTTCTACTATATATTATAATTATTAATGAATTCCATTCTCTAAGACAACGGGAAACTTGTTTTTACTGCTTTCTAAATGTATTTCCATCACTCATCTGTCCGTTTCTCCTACTGTGGTTGCCGGTTGGTGTGTGGCTGTGGTGCTGTAAGTTATTCACCCAGGGGGGTCACATGTGGTGTACAGGTTTGTCAGAACATTCAGACTCTGATAGACAAGGAAGAAGAAAATTTTGAAAACTTAGCAACCAAAAACCACACAAATGGCAATGGAACATTGTCTGACAAAGCGCCCAAAACTGAGTCCCTCGGGTTGGAACGCACTCGAAATAAAACTGGGAAACCAGCTGTTTCCTCAAAGTAGAGGTCACCTTAGCAGCATGAATAGAACAAGACTCTCAAGACTGCCCGCCCCCGCCCCATCCACCACCACTGCAGATGTGGCACAACTCAAAAGGGGAAGAAATAGCTGAAAACATCCATTAGTAATAACAAGGTACAACGTCAGAAGTCAGAATCTAGAAAAAGTTTAAAGTTTTAAAAAGTAAAGTGGAATGCGTAAAAACATATCATAGGCATTAGTAAGCAGAAATGAGTGGGTATAGAGCATTTTGAATCATATAATAATTTGGTCACTGTGCCAGGAATGACCCTTTAGAGAGGCATTTTATCACGTTCGTTTCCAGATCTTTCGTGAAGTACAATGCTGTCTGTGCTAGGATAAAATGCATGTGCCGACAAGGAAGGACAGCTCACTTGACTGCTATTCATACTTGCTTACCAACTCCTAAAGCCAGAGATGAAGACATTGAAGGTGCCTACCAACTTCTATCTGAAGTTGATCAAAAAATACTGGTTGACATTCTACCATTTCAGGAGGTTGATTATGAGCAAGAACCCATAGTGCCAAAGGAAGAAATTCAAGCTGCACTGGATGCATTAACCAAAAACAAAGCTACAGGAGGTGACGGAATGTTAATTAAAGTATGTAAACAAGATGATAAAGTACTGGAGGCATGTACTCATCTATGGCAGGATGTTTGGAAGACAGCTACTTGTTCAACTGACTAGAAGAAATCCATATTTGTACCCATTCCAAGTAAAGGTGACCTAAGGGGAGGCTCAAATTATAGAACAATATTCCTGATGTCAC